TTCAGATAATTGATACTCATGCCTTCTTAAAATGTGATAATCTGATTGGTTACGCAATAAACATGTGAACCCCAAAACTTATAAAAAGATCATGCTACACATTGGAATTCTATTAGGTGATATACTTTCAGTTTCCTTGCTGTATAGTCTGGAGTTGGCTTCTTCCTTCCTGTATAAATTAGTTTTTGCTTTTCTTTGACATAATGACAGCTCCTTTTTGCCCTCTCCCCAAATTAAAATTAATCATAATCTTTCAAAGAGTTCTCTATTACCTTTCATTTTTGACTGACATCCTGCTTGCTGTAGTCCTCAAGAAATCAATGAATATATTAACTGGAATTAAACCTGGCACCTGTCTCCAAGGAACTCAACTTGATAGTTCTTGGTAGCCTTAGATGGAATTTTTAATAACTTTAAAAGAGATTATTTTTTAAAACCAACTGTGTGTTCTTAAGTCATTCCTCCAAACCCATGTTTTCTGAGTATCCAAATAGAGAAATAAGGGTAGAATAAAACAAATCTGACCAGAATTAAGAGTATTAAAATATTTTTAAAAAAATCTAACAAGCTAATGATTGTTATGAAAAGAAATTAAATGGCTCTTTTAGGTAGTATCTTATAAATACAAAATAACAGTATATTTCTTCTCAGTCTACTTGAGGGGCAAAGGAACTGGAAGAAGATGGTGCTGAAGAAGGCAGACTACAGATATTCAAGAAATTTGTTTTTTTTCTGTTCCTACAATTCAGAACATTTTGTTTTTCTTTAGAGCTCCAAGTCAGTCAGGCACAGAAACCTCATCTCGTACTAAAAGTAATAATTAGATAAAGAACAGGAAATAGTTCAGTCTGAAAGGCTGAATTGGAATTCTGGCTCTACCATTTAATAGTTCTGTGACTTTTACCTTTTTGAGTTTCACTTTCTAAATCTGTAACATGGGTTTAATACCACTATACCCAATAGGGTTGGTGAGAATTAAAATAAAGAAGGCACGTAATATATGTAAATTGCCTGGCCCATAGTAGGCACTCAATAAATGTTCATAGACTTTTCTTCCTTGACCCCTTTGGAAATTAAATTTGACAGATAAATAGTGTTCTCTTCACTCTCAAAACTACTGTGGTGAGAAAAAAGATAGAAATAACTACATGGAATAATAAATTTCCTTGATCTAAAATTTGAGAGTAGATAACTAAGTAATGAAATAAAACTAGTAAGAGAAGGATAGAAAGAAGGATGGAATTATAAAACCCATATGAAAGTTAAGATACTATTAATCATTTCCATTTCCCTCTTGGAAGTGATGATGAAATTATATTTCATACTCAGTGAGGGGAGAAATTACCCAAACTTTGAAAAGTAAAATTAAAAGTGTCTCATAAAAACAAAAATTGGTTCCATTTTCCAGAAGTTTTATCAAACTACTTGGATAGTAAATGAAAGTAAAGCCTTTCAGTCATTCATCTGAGATAACCTGTTTAAGTGTCTACTATATGCCAACTGCCATACTAACTGGCAAAGGGTATACAAGAGCAGGTGAAAGAATATTTATTAAAGGCATAGTACACGTCAGGTGGTGTTAGGCATATACCACTGTATTAGTTAGTTTGCTAGGGCTGCCATAACAAAATACCACTGACTGGGTGACAAACAACAGAAATTTATTTTTTCATAGTTCTGAAGGCTGGAAGTCCAAGATCAAGGTATAGGCAGAGTTGGTTTCCTCTGAGGCCTCTCTCCTTGGCTTGCAGTTGGCTGCCCTCTTGCTGTCTCTTCACATGGCTGTACCTCTGTGCATGCGCACCCCTGGTGTCTCTATGTGTCCAAATATCCTCCTCTTACAAGGACACCAGTAAGACTGGATTAGGGCCAATCTTTTTTTGTGTGTGTGAGGAAGATCAGCCCTGAGCTAACATCCATGCTAATCCTCCTCTTTTTGCTGAGGAAGACCGGCTCTGAGCTAACATCTATTGCCAATCCTCCTCGTTTTTTTTCCCCCCCCAAAGCCCCAGTGGATAGTTGTATGTCATAGTTGCACAACCTTCTAGTTGCTGTATGTGGGACGCGGCCTCAGCATGGCCGGAAAAGCGGTGCATCGGTGCGCACCTGGGATCCGAACCCGGGCCGATAGTAGCGGAGCGTGCGCACTTAATGGCTAAGCCATGGGGCCGGCCCTAGGGCTAATCTTAACGGCTTCATTTTAACTTAATCACCTCTTTAAAGGCCTATCCCCTAATACAGTCACATTTTGAGGTGCTGGGGGTTAGGGCTTCAACATAAAGAATTCTGGAAGAGCATGATTCAGCCCATAAGAAACATCATCTCACTTAACTATCGCCTTGTTTTACAAATGAGGATCTAGGCTCTGAGAGAATAACTCTTCAATGTCACATAGCCAGTGAGTGGTGGAAACAAAATTTTAACCAAGGTCTCATTATGAGAGCACCAAAGCCTATGCTCTTTCTGTTCTTCACACCTCCTCAAAGAATTACAAATCTAGTTAAGAAGACACAGTACTGATTCATGAAATTTTAAATATGGAGGTTATTGATAAAGAAGCACTTATTCACTGGACTTGTGCCATCATACGGAAAGAATGGATTCAGGATTAATAAACATTTATAGAATATTTATTATTATATGTTAGGCTAGGTTCTTTCACAAAAGAGTCTATTGGTTCCTTTACATGAAGCATTGCTGATTGGTAAACAGCAACAATTTTGGTATGTCTTGGCCCAAAGCCTACAGATGATCCTAAGTCAATGTCAAATACAAGAGGGCTTTCTAGAATATGTATCTTAGATATGACTGTCTTTTAGATCTCTTTTCTTCTGCATTTGGGTGCAGGCTATGTGCAGGTACACATGTATGAAATCTCTAATCTGCTTTATAATATTCTACCTCATTGGTAATCTACACAATATGTTAGTGGGCTTTCAACTCTAGAGCCTCTCAAGATTAAAGACAAAAGTTCCATGCTCTGTCTCTTGAGACTCCTACTGTGTGTCCAGGAATGAGTGTTAGGCTAGACTGGGGTCAGGCTGGCACCTGCTCCACGCTCTGGATAACCCTCTATTATTGTTTAAAGTTAGTTAAAAGTAGCATTCTAGCTTGTGCTTTACTCTCTAACTACATTTTATGGATTTATACTCTGTTAAATTGTAATTATATAATTAATAAGTTAAATAATTTACATTCCTAGATTATGCTATAATGTTTCCAAAGAAGAGGCATTCTAGGGGCCAAGGCATATGTATAGAATCCTGGTACATACCAACCCTTACACAAAAATTGTTGGACTCCTGAAAGCAGGAGATAAAACTCCCATGTGAAAGATGTCCTCCTTAGACGAGCAGGAAAGAAACAGAGAGGCAATTGTGGAAGAGTAACTAAAATACATGGGGAGACTAAAGGAAGATAATTTTTTTAACCAGGTCTGTTTGTACAGATTACTCTCGACTTTGACTTCCCTCTCTGGTGATAAGAAAACAAACTTCATAAAGGTAAGTTGCCTCTCTTTGTTCAACCTAGTATGTAAACTTAGGCCTAGCCGCTTCTTTGGGTCTTCATTTTCCTAGGGGGTTCCCATGTACGTGTAAAAATCTGTATGCTTTTCTCCTGTTAATCTGACTTATGTCAATTTAATTCTTAGGACTAGCCAGAGACCCTAGAAGGGTAGAAATAAAGTTTTGCCTCCCTACACTACGTATACATATACATAGTGCGTGTGTATATATGTATCTATCTATCTACATGTGTGTATATATATATATATATATATATATATATATATATATATCTCACTTATCACTCATTATAGGGGCTACAAGAGCCTCCTCAAGGAGGCTGAATTGTCGAGATCCATTACTTTGTTTTTTTTCAGGTAAATTCTTTGAATATCAATTACACCATTTTCAAAAAACAAGTACAAAAGCACATTTCAAAATTTGATCTGATTTTTAGTATTATCCATACTTCTACTTCTCTCCTAGAGTATGAACATTAAACAGTGTTCTCAACAATAATGGGAATTCAGTTGTGATTTTGCAAACTGTCTCAACTGAGTTAGATGGGTGGAAGAGGTGGGAGCAGTATATCAGAATCTTGGGGGAAAACAGGAGAGCAGAGAATGAAGTAATATACATAGTTTAAAAACACAGCAGGGCTTTTCTCCAATACTTGTATGTGTTTTTAGTCACAGTATTTAATGTTTTGAAATTTCAAAGAATATTAAAGTAGGGCATATGTTAAAAAAAAAAGAGGTTGAGCAACACCAGTGTAAGGGAATTTTAAAAAACCTGAAGAAATTAGACTTCATTTTTTGCCTCCAGACAAAAGTGCATATAGAAGGCATTTAATGAATGTTTTGAATTAAACAGACTCGGTACCCAATTAACCCAAAAAACACTTAATTCAAGAAATAAACACACAGAAAAATGTAATGCTCTTACAGACTTATGTCCAGGAACTGAATAGCATGAGGGTCTAAACTTGAAGTGGAAAAGTAAATCCCCAAACGCAGTATGACACCCTTGTAATTCTGCGCAAGCATATTTTTATTGACATTATGCGTTTCCAGCGGTTATTACCTTTGTAAACTTTCACAGAAAGAGCTACTAATCATCTCCCCTCATCTCCACCTCCTGGTGCCTTCTACACAATAAACACAAAACTAGAGATACACACTCAAGTTGAGAAATGCTCTGACCCCCAAATTTCTTTTTCCTCAAGCTGGGTATCCAAAGACAACTAAGATTTTCAATTTAGACTTCTTTGACTTTCAGGCCCGGAACTACCTTACTCCAAGACATTTTCACAGAACATATTATTTCCTACCTGCTGTCAGGTTGTAGACCACTGATAAGGTTCAAACCAATCAGTTCTCACAGTTGGAGGTAGATTGAAAGAATGCCTATAGTGCAGGCCCTCTCAACTCAGTGGCTCTACGTGCATATGTGATGGACAGTGCCCTGATCCCCTGAAGTCCAAGGAATACCTACCTCTAGCTTCAGAACATCATGCTGAAGTTTACGCTGAAATTCAAGGAAGTTTTTGATTGTCAGCTTCCCCTTGAGATCAGCTCCAAAAAAGTAGGTTGTGAGGGCTGAACATAAGCCGGACTTGAGGGTGTTACCAGTAGTAGAACGATCTCTGTGACGCATACCCATACTGGTTTGGGAGCGAATGATGCTCTGAACCTAAAAGAGAAGCAAACCCCCATCCAGAAAAACATTACAAAGTGGGGAAAAAAAGAAGAGTAAGAACAATAATGGACTACTGATTGTATATGATTTGCCTACACTGTGCTACAATTCTCTCTTTTAATGATCACAACAATCCTATGAGATAAGTCTTATGATTATCTTCATTTTAAAGATGAGGAATTTGAGGCACAGTGTTAAAAAACTTGCTCAAGATTAAGCAGCTAGCAAATCCCAGACCCAGGATTCTAACACAGATGCCTGACACCTTCATAACTGGAATGTTCTTTAAAATCTCTCTTCAGAAGAGAGTATGCATTTGTGTTTGAGGCTCAAAACCTCTCACACAACATTCAAATAATCATCAACCTCACAGTAATACCTTCCATACCTCAGGAAACTTTTAAAAATTTCACACTTCTCACTACTGACTCTCCAGTTGTAACAAGAGGCAGCATAGCTATAGGTAAATACTTGACATCTAAGAAAGATAACACATCTATTAGAATGATACATAAAATACAAAGTTGGTATGAAATACTTCTCCAAGAAAAGATGGGGAATTAGTTCAATCTTTGAGAAGTTTTAAATGAGCTTTCTGAGAAAGGACAATTTTGGGGATTAGCAACCATGGCCTGACTATATAAATGAGCTTTTGGAGACAAGTCTATGATTGCTATAGCTTTTTTTTTTTTTTTTTAAAAACTAGTTCCTGCAGTCTTTTCTACCTCTTTACAAGCTAAAAGACCAACCATTCAGAGAAATTAAAATTGGGATATGTAAAGATAAATAATAAAGTTATGTTATATAAATAAATAATACATAAAGCCTTGTAGGTGATGATTTTTAAATTGCCAAATTAGAAAAGCAAAATACTTAAAAACTTAAGATTTGTAACAACGAGTTTACCTTAGTTAATTGTCTTTTATTTATTATCTATGACCATAAAAAAGATTTATTTGAGACAGTTTAAAAGTCCCTGGCTCTATAAAGGGTGGAAGAGCATAATAGAAAGACACTAGATGAGGAGTCAGGAGACATGAAGTCTGACTCTGCTGCTCTGTACTGAAAGCAGAATTTATGCAGGTTATTTAACTTCTTTAGGCCTTACTTTCCTCATTGGAAAAGTTCATGGTTAGAGTACATTATCTTTAAGTCTCCTTATAACTCTAGGTTAATATCATAAATGCTTTTTATTATGATTTTTTCTGGGTTCAAGGTTTTATCATGTAAATAAGACTGGCTGACATTTGTTTCTCATGCACATGGAGACTTGAAAGAAAGGTATACAATGGGTTTTAGAATTATTTAAGTTGAAGAGTTTTAGACTTTAAATTGAAATACAGAATAATCAGTACAATGCTTCTTCTATTTGAAGGCAATACACAATTCATCTGCCTAATTGTGAGACCTAAAGAATTTTCCCCTAGCAGTAAACTAGCATTGAGCACCAGCGTCAGGACCTGGCATGATTTAAATTTTTCCTGTGGCGATCAATATTGCAGCTTATATCCTTCCTCTGGTGGAAACTGTGTATGTTCGCTTCAAGAGTGAGGTGCCAAGAGAGTGTGTGTAAGTGATTGGGAAAAAGAAGTGTTTTTAGGTAAAATTAACTAGTGCTACAGCATCTTCGCTAACGATTAATGATAGCACAGTCCAAATGTTATCCCACCAAAGTGTAAACTATTATTAACTATAAGTGCTCTTTCATTAACAACTTTTTAAAAAAACAATGTATCACTAGATTGTGTGTGTGTGTGTGTGTGTGTGAGAGAGAGAGAGACTGTTTTCTTAGAATTTCTCAGTTGGGAAATATTTTCTCAAAATATTTTTATTTAGACAACTTGTTAAGGGTATAACATGAGAATCAATTAAAATATACCAATTCAACTAGTCATGTGAATGCTTACTATATGCTATATGCTGTGGAGAAAATCAAGAGAAATATAAAACATGATCTGTGAAATAAAATTCCATTCCTTTTCTTCTGTCTCACAACTGATAGTTATCATTTCTCATACTTTCATACTAAAAAACATTTCTGTCATGGCCTTGGGTGAATGCAGCCCAAACAGTTAAGAGATTTTTTTCCTAATATCTTTTGCTGGGTTAGTTTTGTTTTATGATCTTCTATAAAATGGGTTAAAGAAAAGGATCTGTATGATAGAAAGGTCAGAGAAAAGTCACATTTAACTATTTACAGCTGACTAATGCTTTTCAGTAATTTGTGCTTATGCATGATCAAAGCGATTTTGGAAAAAGATGAATGAAAGAGTAATATTAGGGCCAGCCCCGTGGCTTAGTGGTTAAGTGCGCGCGCTCTGGTACTGGCGGCCCGGGTTCGGATCCCGGGCGCGCACCGACGCACCGCTTCTCCGGCCATGCTGAGGCAGCGTCCCACATACAACAACTAGAAGGTTGTGTAACTATGACATACAACTATCTACTGGGGCTTTGGGGAAAAAAAAAGCAGAAGGATTGGTAATAGATGTTAGCTCAGAGCAGGTCTTCCTCAGCAAAAAGAAGAGGATTAGCATGGATGTTAGCTCAGGGCTGATCTTCCTCACAACAACAACAACAAAAAAAGTAAATGCCAACCAATTTGACAATCTGGAAGAAATGGATAAATTCTTAGAATCATACAACCTTCCAAAACTGGATCAAGAAGAAGTAGAGAATTTGAATAGACCAATCACCAGTA